AAGTCATAGCTGGGGAATTGCTCTTGTTGGGAAAATAGACCCATCGTTGTCGATGAATGCTGGCTGTTCTCAACTGGCCTCGGAAGACATCCAGTAACCTCGAGATCGTCAAGGAGACTGTCCACATCGTCTATTCGGAGGATGGACCCTGCCATGCGAAAATGTAATCAGATCCTGCGGTCGGAGTGGATACGTCGTTCGCGGAGTAGGAGGTCTCTGGTCAACAGATGCGACATGAGCGTATTGGCGATCCTCTCGAGATTCACCACAACTTCACCGCCTCCACCTGAAACGAATCTTGTGGAGAATGAACTCATCGTAATGGCTTACGTGGCCTAGAAGGGAGCTTGAAAATCTCCAACACGTCACTCTCGCTGTATAGGTCATTCTTAGCGACAGGAGCCATTGGAAACTGACTAGGAAACAACTCGGCGTGAGCGAAAAGATAGTGACTAGAACGCAACAGGAGTGTCCCTAGAGGGCATGAAAGAAGCATTGTTCCCATGTATTAAGGTTGTTAATGCTGGGTAATTCGACTGAGTGGCACGGCATCCTCAGCCACGTACGTAGTCGAGACCGATCGGGTGGGGGAAGAGGCTCCTCTGGGGTACTGCTGCTGTTGGCTGTGGAGTGACAATCAGGCTGCCTTGCCTGAGATTCACTTGGTATGCCAGGGAAGAGGCGGTACGGCTCCCAGGCAGAGACCTTGTATGGTCCAAGGGTCTGTTCATAGCAGCGCTGGAATGCCCTAGTATGGCTTGAGGACGATATGTCGTCGTCATGAGCCTTGCATACGGAAGGCTTACACTAGCCAGCCCACATGGCTGACAACGAGATCCGATCGCCGGGGATCGAGCTGGCAACTGAGTCGGCTGTGAGGCCACGTAGGAAGGCGGCGGAGCGAAGCTTGAGGCGGCATACCTCATCGTAAAGTTACCACCTTGTGAGGTGGCCTGATAGCTGCTACGGGCCGGCGGTTGCTGATGAGGTTGCAGAGGAGGCGGAGGCCGCTGTTGGACAGTATTAAGCGCCACTTGCTGCTGCTGTTGTTGAGGCTCCCTCGGGGCACCCAAGAAGGGGGTTGAGAAATTCTTTTGCAAACTCATCATATGGGCACTGGCTTGACGGACTGGTTCACGCAGTGGCGAAGAGGATGAGGCGCTGGGCGTCTGAGCTATGGTGGCGAGATTCCTGCCAAACGCCGCCATTTTGAAGACGTCCTCGTCGTCCATCCGCATGAGAGTGTCCGGTGGGGCCGATAAGATAGAAGCATCGGGAACACTTGCAGTTTCTCTTGTAGGCAGCGATGGAGTTTCCTCGACACCTGTGATCTGCAGGCCTGTTAGACAGACCATCTGGCTGCCTAGACCAGCACCAAAGAGGGCAGGGCGGGATGGCTTGTATTCGACACTGGAGGGTCGGGCCTGCCTTTTCTTCTCTCGCTTGGCCCGGCTTGAAGGGGTCGTCTGTCGTGGACGGGGAGTCACTTCCATGGGGGAAGACTGGGAGCTCTCGCTTGGTCTGGAGCTGCTGGCGATAGAGTTTCGCAGTCTTTCAGGAGCTCCCAAGGCCCTGGCCACCGACGGCTCGTGCTGGGCCAATCGTGACGAATAGTAATAGTTATAATATCTGTTCGTAAACCAAGACCATGCTCCTATTCTAGCGAGGAAGCTCACGTTATGTAGTCCACAGGATCAGGGGACTCAGCTCCTCCCTGCGATGGGAAGGCATGGGTGCCGGCGTGCATCTCTTCGGGGAAGTCGTCGAAATTCTGAGTGTCAGTCTCGCTGTTTACAGGTGGTCTATAATGGGTCGTATTCGGGAATACAAATTCGCATCTCTCACTTGATCGGCGCTTCAAGCTCGCGTAAATGATCCCAATCAAGACCAGCGAAGAGGGGATGAGCTCTGATGGCGTCGGCACTGCAAAAACAACAGTAGCGCAACAACAATGCGAGACGTTGGGGCCTCACCTGAGTCTGTCCTTAGCGTCGCATATTAAACGTCGCAATAGGTCCTCAGCCTCTGGACTGCAGCCACCGTTTGAAGTGGGTATGTGGAAATATCGGCGCCAATTCTGCACCCGACGGCTCGTTACCTGGGCAACGGTATAGGAAGGTTGAGATAAAGGGAAGACTCACCAGCGGGTCGTGGGTTTCGTTGGAGAAAGGTGGGCCGCCGAAGAGCATCTCGTACATGATGACACCAACACTCCACCAATCGATAGACTCATCGTAGCCAGTGCCCGAGAAGACCTCTGGGGCCATGTAGTCGGGAGTACCTGTAGTTGGCCTTTTACAGTGCGACCACTAGCAGAAGACATGTGCGCGCTAAGCCCTCACCAACGACTGAGCATAGCTTCTGACGAGCTGCGTGGGTGAGCAACGTCGACTCCTCTAACACCGAGCCAACACTAGCGACACTGGTGTCCAGTCTGGAGTTATTCACAGACTTTTGCCCACCTACAAAAGACCACTGGGAAGTGTACCGAATAGAAGCTCCACGACGTACCGGCCAGATTAGTGACAAGGTCTGGATGATATTTACTGAGGCCGAAGTCCAGAAGCTTGATGTGTCCTCTAGCATCAAAGAGAATATTATCAGGCTTGACGTCACGGTGGATGTAGGAGAGGCTCGTGTGGATATAGTCCACGGCTTGGACCAACTCGGCGACGTAGAAACGGGTCTCCTCCTAAGGCATGGCCATGGTGACCACCAACAATGATAGGAGCACTTCTGTGAATTTGTCCTTCCTGATCATATGCGTCATGAGGTCACCACCAGGGAGATATTCCATGACCATATACCTGCCGCAAGTCTATACCTACCCTCCGTCCTAGATAATCATCTCACAGGAAGTGCTTGTCCATAAAAGTGTACTTCAAGTCGATAACCCAGTCAGTGTGGGCTAGCGCCAGGACATCCCTCTCGGCTAAGACGTGATGGACCTGCTGGAAGGGCTGGGCAACCCTCAATGGACTCAGCATCATTCAGATGGGCTCTCTGTCGACACTAGATTCATGCAGACGTCCTTCGCATTGGTAAGGACACTAGCATGTGCTACCTGCTTCTTCCTGTCCATGTCCTTCTTCCTCATCTGCTTCATAGCGTATATATTCCCAGTGCTTTTCTCTCGTACCTAAGCACAAGGCCCCTTACCACAGCACAATGATATCAAGCCTAGACATTTCGATTCCGCTCGCAACCGGTCACAATAAAGCTTGGCCAGATGAAAAGAGCTGACCATGGATAGTTCATAGTCGCCTCTCTCCATCTAGCAACTTCTAGCTTGATCTTTATCAACATCCACGACAGGTTCCCATAATACTGTGATTCCCATGGAGGCACTGGTGAATAGACTATTCGGTGACGAGCCCTCGATGAGTCGGAAGATAAGACAGCGTTCCTTGCACTCACCAATCTAACTATCCCAAATGCTCCAGTCCCGATGACCTTTAGGTTCTCGAAGTCCTCAATACCTATCTTCCTTCTAGCGGCTCGTAGAAAGCCTTCCTCTTGCCTGACCCGACAACCCTATCCCCAAGCATATTCCAACCATAGCCTCGCCCGACTTAGCCAGATCCTCTCGGGCCGCCTTCTCCTCATCCTCAGTGGCGTTTTGTTCTCGAAGTGTCTTGGTCAGGGCCGCTTCCCGAGCCGCAATGAGCCGTTGGGTCCTCTGATAGGACGAGCTCAGTCCCACCAGCAGATGAGCTACCCTACGAGTCTCCTGTTCCTGTTGTGCTCAATGGCGTCTTTGAAGGACTGGAATTTATCAGAGTTACGGTCGCGGGGAGGCCCTCCGGGTGAATTCATAGCTACAAGTGACAGTCTGCAAGAACTCCCTCCCCAGCAGCGGTAATGACCACTGACAACGGAACAAAATTTTTCCAGAGAAGATGTTGAATAAGATATGATACAACCATGGGTGAAGTGCGTCCTACTCCTGCACCTGCACTACGAATAGACTCGTTGACAAGAGGCAGTAGTATTCCTATATCGGATTTCAACATCAAATTTCTCACAACGAATAACAGGTAGCAAGAGAACTGGAGTCGAGTTTATTCCTCCTCATTCTATGGTATGACTCCAGCCACACCCTGCCCATGTAAATATCTCCTAGACCGACACAGGCCACTCAGTTGCGACTACCCTGTGACGATTCTCCCGAAACACTAGTACTATCTTCTACATGTGTCCATACTCCTACTATCAGAAGAGGTAGTTCCTCCCTATTCGAAACCTCTACTACCACCTGAAAGCTTCCCGTTGTGCCGTGCTTGAACTGCTCAATCTAAGGCGACAAGGCGGACGTCAGAGCAAACTGCATATATCATCGTCGAGTACAAAGCCCTCTCATGGTCTCATAATACCTCCAGCAATGTTTACTGGATACTACTCCTCGAGGCCCCCATGCTGGACAAGATGCGTTATGCTTCTCTACCCTGTTGATGCTAATCCCTGAGAGTCGCATCTAGTAGTACACACCTCGTCACGGGGAACTCAATACGGTCACTATAGGGAGCAGTATAGCGACTGACAACAAGCATAAACCGACTAAGCCAATACTAACCCTAGTACTATTCACACAGGTTACAACACAATAACAGGAGCCTTAGGAACTTGATGCAGTTGTATGCATATGGTGGTTCAGAGAGGAAGAAGCCAGCAAAAACGATTGAATCTGGACTTCGCCACCACCAAACACTCCCACCAAAGGTAAAGGGTGTTACAGCTGATGCTGTGATACCAGCTCTTGAGAGCTTGTGGTTCGAGATGGTTACACTTAGTTAGACGGCGCGTGTACGAAAACACGGTGACCAACGAAGAAAGGTCCGAGGGACTTCATGAAGAGAGCGGTGTGCTCTGTTTTACGCATGTCCTCGACCAACTGAAAAGAGGGAAACACATACAGCTTGTCACCAACGGGGAGTTGAAGCTCTCACCTTAGAAAGGGGATTGAGCTCCTTGTGGACTAGGCCAATGACGAACTCGTTGTCAGCAGCATCAAGACCGTAGCAGTTAAGACGGACATCCCAAGCACCGACCTGAAATAAAAACAACCGTGTTAATCTGAGAGAAACAGTAAGAGCCAGTAACTCACCTTGGAGTAAGCTTTTCCGATAGCAGCATGCTGAAGGAGCATCTGACACTGGTCCCCAGGTTTTTCCATAGAGAACTTTCCCTCCCTCCTCATGGGGTACCAGATGGCATACTCGGTATCCTTCATAGTCACATTACGAATGACTTTCTGGAGGAGATAGTCTTCAAGGTCAGCCTCGTGGCCACTTGAATAGGTCTTGCCAAGCATGGTCCAGCCTTGTCTAGGTTCCAATACATCACCAATACCCTCCAACTGGAGGACGGGGTTAACCACAGTAGGGAAATGCTTCGGATCCTCACTCCAAGTTAGAAGGCCGATGGCCTTCGGACTGTTCACATCGTCGTAAATAACACTTGGGATGTTCCTTCTGACTAACTCGAGCTGAAGCTTCTCTCGAGCCTCCGGCAACTTAGCGGCGTTGATGCAGTCCAGGACGTAGAGTTGACAGTATAATCTTTTATCCATCTTCTGACCATTGGCGCCCTTCTCATACAAGACGGGGCCATCAAACACTGGCATCTTGAAGTGAGCCGACTCGGCCTGTCCACCTGCTCTGGTGAGTAGGGCTGGCGCTATACGACGTAGGGAGCGCGGAAGAGGAAGCTCTTGGTGACGATGTCTATAGATGAGAACTCCAGCACTGAGTGCAGCGGCCACCGAACCAGCGATAGCGAGGGGGGCCATAGGGAGATCCGAAATGGCTTTAGTCGTGTCGGTGGAAGAAGAGGACATGGAGTATTAACGAGATATATGTCTGAGGTGAATACCAGATTGAATCTCACTCTATCATGTCTATGGTTGACGAGGGTCCAGAGTCCAGTACACCCGACCCCTGCAAGGGAACCCGCTGAAACAGAACCTCACAATGAAATGACGAGAGAAAGCTCAAACCACCCGCAGCGTGAATTCCACATAGAAACAGATCGGTATCTCATAGGTATTAGCAACTCACCATTCAAATTCAATAACGTGAGGCGGAGATACATTAGCCCTGTGCCAGTGATTGGAAAATTATAGCGAGCTACAGATCCTGGAGCCGCGAAAAGGAGACAGAGTTGCACAATTCCAAGAGGGTCCAACGTCTAGTATCACTCAGCTAAGAGCTATAACCTTCACCACCTGCTAAGGTGGTCCGCATCGTCTACTTAAATTGAATCCAATCTTAAGACTACATATTAGAGCACCCGGTACTCCTCACTCACCCTTCAAAATTCTCTAATAACGTGTACACATAACCAGTACAAACCACCTATTGCTCAGCCCTCATTCTGAGATACCACTACGAGCAACCCTAAACATCAGGACACCCTCATCAGGCACTTCCAAGCATTCATTTGAAGTTATGCACGAGCATTCTCACCATACATAACAACACAACATTAAAAAGGAGTAAGACTAACCTCATGATACGAGGGATTGTAGTAACGATTGATGCGATTGTATGCAGATGATCATAATGGATCGAGAACCTTAGCGAGGAACATATGTTAATGCGGGGAAAACCTCCATCTCGACCCATCATGACCAAGTCCCACAACGGGAAATTGACAGTATAGCTGATGCTGTGGCTCCAGCTACAAGGCCCTATACGAGGCCATGAACTGAAACCTTAGGATCCGATAGTTGATCCTAGTTGGAAGGAATATGAACAAACACACGCTGACCCACAAAGAAGGGTCCGAAAGACTTCATAAAGAAGGAAGAGTGAGCGGTCTTGCGCATATCCTCAACGATCTGACAAGCGAAGGAGCAATCTCTAGTCAATGATCGTACACCTTAGTAGGAACCTACCTTGCTAAGAGGATGAAGATCCTTATTCATGAGCCCAATGATGAACTCGTTATCATCGGCGTCGAAACCATAGCAATTAAGACGGACATCCCAGACTCCAGCCTGAAGGAGAGGTACAGTCAAGTCACATCAAGTAGGGCGAAGAGGCCTGCTCACCTTTCCATAGGCCCTTCCAATAGCCGCATGCTCAAGTAATCTCCGGCACTGGTCTTCGGGCTTCTCCTTATAAAACTTGCCCTCTCTCCTCATAGGGTACCATACGGCGTACTCCGCACCTTTCATGCTGACGGTACGGATGACCTTCCTCAGAAGGATATCCTCCAAGTCAGCCTCGTGGCCACTTGAATAGGTCTTGCCAAGCATGGTCCAGCCTTGTCTAGGTTCCAATACATCACCAATACCCTCCAACTGGAGGACGGGGTTAACCACAGTAGGGAAATGCTTCGGATCCTCACTCCAAGTTAGGAGGCCGATGGTCTTCGGACTGTTCACATCGTCGTAAATAACACTTGGGATGTTCCTTCTGACTAACTCGAGCTGAAGCTTCTCTCGAGCCTCCGGCAACCTAGCGGCGTTGATGCAGTCCAGGACGTAGAGTTGACAGTATAATCTTTTATCCATCTTCTGACCATTGGCGCCCTTCTCATACAAGACGGGGCCATCAAACACTGGCATCTTGAAGTGAGCCGACTCGGTCTGTCCACCTGCTCTGGTGAGTAGGGCTGGCGCTATACGACGTAGGGAGCGCGGAAGAGGAAGCTCTTGGTGACGATGTCTATAGATGAGAACTCCAGCACTGAGTGCAGCGGCCACCGAACCAGCGATAGCGAAGGGGGCCATAGGGAGATCCGAAATGGCTTTAGTCGGGTCGGTGGAAGAAGAGGACATGAAGTATTAACGAGATATATGTCTGAGGCAAATACCAGATTGAACCTCACTCTATCATGTCTATGGTTGACGAGGGTCCAGAGTCCAATACACCCGACCCCTGCAAGGGAACCCGCTGAAACAGAACCTCACAACGACATGACGGGGGAAAGCTCAAACTACCCGCAGCGTGAATTCCACATAAAAACAGATCGGTATCTCATAGGTATTGGCAACTCACCGTTCAAATTCAATAACGTGAAGCGGAGATACATTCGCCCTGTGGCAGTGATTGGAAAATTATAGCGAGCTACAGATCCTGGAGCCGCGAAAAGGAGACAGAGTTGCACAATTCCAAGAGGGTCCAACGTCTAGTATCACTCAGCTAAGAGCTATAACCTTCACCACCTGCTAAGGTGGTCCGCATCGTCTACTTAAATTGAATCCAATCTTAAGACTACATATTAGAGCACCCGGTACTCCTCACTCACCCTTCAAAATTCCGTAATAGCGTGTGTGCACATGGACGGTAGAAACTACCTATTGCTCAGCCCTCATTCTGAAATACCACTACGAGCAACCCTAAGCCTCAGGACACCTTCATCAGGCACTTCCAAGCACTCATTTGGAGTAGTACACCAGCATTCTCACCATACATAACAACACAACATTAAAAGAAGGAGTAAGACTAACCTCAAGATACGAGGGATTGTAGTAACGATTGATGCGATTGTATGCAGATGATCATAATGGATCGAGAACCTTAGCGAGGAACATATGTTAATGCGGGGAAAACCTCCATCTCGACCCATCATGACCAAGTCCCACAATGGGAAATTGACAGTATAGCTGATGCTGTGGCTCCAGCTAGAGGGCCCTATACGAGGCCATGAACTGAAACCTTAGGATCCGATAGTTGATCCTAGTTGGAAGGAATATGAACAAACACACGTTGACCCACAAAGAAGGGTCCGAAAGACTTCATAAAGAAGGAAGAGTGAGCGGTCTTGCGCATATCCTCAACGATCTGACAAGCAAAGGAGCAATCTCTAGTCAATGATCGTACACCTTAGTAGTAACCTACCTTGCTAAGAGGATGGAGATCCTTATTCATGAGCCCAATAATGAACTCGTTATCATCGGCGTCGAAACCATAGCAATTAAGACGGACATCCCAGACTCCAGCCTGAAAGAGAAGTACAGTCAAGTCACATCAAGTAGGGCGAAGAGGCCTGCTCACCTTTCCATAGGCCCTTCCAATAGCCGCATGCTCAAGTAATCTCCGGCACTGATCTTCGGGCTTCTCCTTATAAAACTTGCCCTCTCTCCTCATAGGGTACCATACGGCGTACTCCGCACCTTTCATGCTGACGGTACGGATGACCTTCCTCAGAAGTATATCCTCCAAGTCAGCCTCGTGGCCACTTGAATAGGTCTTGCCAAGCATGGTCCAGCCTTGTCTAGGTTCGAATACATCACCAATACCCTCCAACTGGAGGACGGGGTTAACCACAGTCGGGAAATGTTTCGGATCCTCACTCCAAGTTAGGAGGCCGATGGTCTTCGGACTGTTCACATCGTCGTAAATAACACTTGGGATGTTCCTTCTGACCAGCTCGAGCTGAAGCTTCTCTCGAGCCTCCGGCAACTTAGCGGCGTTGATGCAGTCCAGGACGTAGAGTTGACAGTATAATCTTTTATCCATCTTCTGACCATTGGCGCCCTTCTCATACAAGACGGGACCATCAAACACTGGCATCTTGAAGTGAGCCGACTCGGCCTGTCCACCTGCTCTGGTGAGTAGGGCTGGCGCTATACGACGTAGGGAGCGCGGAAGAGGAAGCTCTTGGTGACGATGTCTATAGATGAGAACTCCAGCACTGAGTGCAGCGGCCACCGAACCAGCGATAGCGAGGGGGGCCATAGGGAGATCCGAAATGGCTTTAGTCGTGTCGGTGGGAGAAGAAGACATGAAGTATCAAGGAAGAAGAAATCTAACATAAAGAATAAATAGCACATCCCATCCGGTATCCTAATTCCATAAACTTCCAGCGTTCAATATCTCAGGCCTTGATCGGCTAGGCGATCCTGTGCCGAATATCTTCAGCTATGGTTCTAAGCGTAATTAAAGCGGAGAAATGCCGTGACTAGGGATCGATCCGGCGAGGTTGGATTTTCACAGGACACCTCAGCGCATCGCCATCGATCGTCGACCGATTTACATGCTTTGCATGCAACTCGGCGATTGATTCACGTCTATGCCTTGCAAAGCACCTCGCTCATCGCAGTCCCACCCACTTGTCGAAGTCGACAATCCCGCCCTTGGGCCATGAAATGATCCGTGATACCGGATCAATGACGTTGCCGTTCCAGCAAAACTGATCAGTCAATTAGATCGTGGGGTGGACCCTTTTTTGCACCACTTTGTAGTACGATCATCGTACTTGGGCATTTCTTGGGGTGGCATAGTTGCCCCACCTGAGAAAATGAAATTGGTCGCACTTAAGCATACCGTGGGGTGGCATAGTGGCCCCACTCGATAAAATGAAATTGGTCGTACTTAAGCATACTTTGTGATGGCATAGTTGCCCCACTCGAGAGAATGAAATTGGTCGTACTTAAGAAAACCTTGTGGTGGCATAGTTGCCCCACCGGAAGAAATTGGTCGTACTTGAGCATACTTTGCGATGGCATAGTTGCCCCAACAGAAAAAGTTATTGTGTTTTGGTATATCTACAGGTGGCATAGCGGCCCCTTGCCGAGAAATCCATCCTACTAGCGGAATATCCCTTCAAAAGATCCTTTCGTAGCAGGTGGTGCAAAGAAGACCCACCTCGTGTAATTTCGTGGCGCGTGACATTACGCGCAATTCGAGTATGAAAACCGTTCATACAGCGTTGGAGAGTGCTCAATGAGAGCTTTCGAATAATGCCTACTTTATTCATCGACTGTCCGGCACCGCGAAATTACAATGGGTAGGCCCTTTTTTGTACCGGGTTTGTAGGAGGTCAGAGTATTCTTCACTTTTTGGTTCACAGTGCCCTCAACATGTCCTCCTTTAACTTTATGCTGCCCATTTTGGACGACCTCACATTCTCTGATGAGCCTGAGGGGATAGTAGGAGCAGCAACTCCACCTGCGACAGAGTTACCAGAGATAGTGCTGCCCACATCAGCCGAATTGTTCTTTGCTGTACCCCCTGTACCCCCTAAGACTCCTAAAACGACTAAGCGTCAAAAAGCACAGGCGCTGAGGAGGAAAAAGTTGGCAGCCTCTTTGAGGGAGAAGCGAGCCGATGCAGCTGCTCGGCAACGAGATCCCGACTACCGCCCATTGAAATTTAAGACGGACTACCATCTAGGATTTGATTCGCCCGAGAATGATCGAAATGATCCCATCACACCGAAGCTCTCGAGCAAGGCCAATACGCCAGTTTCTGACCGTAAGGTCAGTTCCACGGCGAGGAAGCGTTCGCCAACGTACATTACGGATGACAGTGATAGCAGCGAGAGACCCTTAAGAAGCGGAGACGAGAGTTATACGCCGTCGGGCAAAGGCAACAAGAAAAAGGTAGGGTCAGTGGACATCGTGGGAGAATATGCACGTCGACAGCTTCGCGTGTTTATTACGTAGATGACATTCGAGGGGAAATCCTGGGAATCCTCATAGCTTATTATGCACTCTTACTCTCTCAATTTCTGTGATGTAATGAGGAAATTTCTCAGCTCAGCTTGGCAAACGTATATTTTAGCACCGGCGGTTGACCGGCGATTTTAAAAGGAGTATTCGGCAAAGCTTGAAACACCTGCAACTCTTGTCGGCTCTTTCTGATCAGACCCGTGTAGAGCCGCGTACAGGAAAGCGACCATCCATAGAAGATGCGTCAGGGGGAACTGACAGCAGCGACATCAGTGAAGGCCCTCATCTCATCCGAGGCCTACTGTCCGATTCGCCACTAGTTTCCTACCCTGTCAAGAGGACCCGACTATTCTCTATCGTTAAACCGAAGCCTACTGTCCAAGAAAGACCTGTGCGGCGAGTCGCCAGTCAGAGCATGTACACTCCGTTGATGGAGTTCCTGTATAAAGAGCAGAACAATGAGAGCAACAAGCGACGAGTTTTCATGGGGGAGGAGGATAAAGTAGACGAGGAAATTGGGAAGGTAGTCATGGAGTTCACTCGTGGACTGTTCCAGTAGCAGATCCTGTAGATATCCGCCTTGCGTAAGCAGCTCGAGAAGAGAATACTAGCTTTCGAATCATACGTGGCCACCACTGGCCTTGCCACAGATGGGGACATCCAAACTTATGATACCATCGATATTCCTCAGGAAGTCCCAGTCAGCACCAGGGCTGGTGTAAAAAGGTCACGCGTAGCACACCCTGAAGGCCATGCTCTACAGCAGTCCAACAAACGGAAGCGTGGGAGACGCACTGGTCATTGAATGACCGCTGACGACTTCGTCGTTATTCCTGTTCATAACAGTGATGAGTATCGGAGGCATGTGCCGACCGTAATGATGGTTGATGTTGTCGCTCTACTACTGCCCGTGTTCTCGTTGAAGTACTAAGACGAATGGGCGATTCCCTACGCTCTCTTGCAGACGTATTGTCAGAGCCCTCGCATGTCCTTACAGCGAGTAATCCAAGACATCAAGCAGCTCTCTATCCTCAGTGCCTCCAGTAGGGCTTCACCAGCGGAGCAGCAGCAACTTGCTTCTAAATGGAACAAACTAGTTGGGGAGTTCATCGGTGAAATTGACGGCAAAAACTCCTTTACTAGGGAGACCGGACGAGGTCGTCGAGTGTCTCCTATGAGCCTGTCTCGAGCGATGCAAGATGTGGCCAAATTTGCTCCACGAGCAGGGTACCCGCTGGTCACAGCTATTCTCCCGCATATCTTGACTGAGCGCAAGCAGGAGCTGCTCCCTGCATTGCCTGAGTTTGGCCCTGTTGACCTGGCGTACATGTCTAACAGTATAGCCAATATCATTACAACCTGTAGCGTAAGCGACTCTAGTGCGCTGCTGAAGAGATTCGGTCAGCAAGTAGGAGAGTACTTCTCAAAGCCGGGACGCTTGGAGGCCGTCCCTATCTACAGTCTGGTTACGCTCACCAACGCTCTCAATAGACTGGGCTACGATGGTGGTGTCTCTCGGCGGCGCGGCGCCAGCGAAGATCTCTATGCACGTTTCGATCGTCTGTGCTGCGAGAAGATAGATTCGATGAACGCCAGCGATATAGCAGTAGCCCTGCAGTCGTTCCACAACGGTGGGTGTCGGCATGCTAAGCCCTCCTCTGACTTGCTCGGGAAGGCCGCTGGTCGTCTCAAAGGAGAACTCCGTCAGCAAGTAGGAGTACTCGTCCCCATAGTCTTCCCAGTATCGATCTCAGATACCCTCGAAAAGCCTAGCGCAGTTGCTGAACATCTTCGTCACTTTCGGCTACAAGCAGGACCGGGAGCTCCTGCTTCTGCTATTCGACGGTGTTTTATCTACACCTGTTGAAGAATTAGAGGTGAAGCCGTTCCCTATATGACCTGTCGATGACAGCTTGATGGTTTTCAGATCTTCTGCGCCCCTTTGGCACTAAACTCTCTCTCTAAGTGCTCCCAAACAGTCGATGAAGGTGTCGACTCTGGGGTGCTGCCTTCCACTGCTATCGTTTTCAACCTGGCCACTAAGTGAGAGGATTTTAGACTTCTTTTTATGGTGAGTATCCATCAGGCACATTCTACCACGACTGAACGACCTAGGCCCTTGCCAGATCGCCAATGTGGTCAACGCGTTGGGCAGTTTGAAGGTCTTTGACTATCGTCTCCTCACGGGCATGTCTCATCTGATCGCCAATAGCGATGGAGGCCACACTGTGCCGCTGCGGACCTTCTCCTTCCAAGAGCTCAGTAACATATCCCATGGTTTTGCCAAGATTGCGTAAGTTCCTATGTGTCACGAACATGTCGTCGGGCTCAATAGTGCATTGATTATGACACCACTCTAGGTGTCTCGAAATACGTTACTTTGAGCCGGATTACTTGATCGGACATGGTTGCAATTCCGCACCGGAACCCTGTGGTTGTTGAGGAACGTCTGGGTTACAACCGATGACGTGATCGACCTCACAGACATGCTACTAGGCCGTGTTGCTATTCCTGCGTCTCAGGTACGGTAGTAGTAACCTCTACATTGCCCTATTCGAGGAAGCCAGCCGGCGAGAGAAGGACTTCGACGCACAAGGGGTGTCTATGTTTCTTGATTCGGTGAGGAGAGTGGCCAATAGATGGTACAATGGAATGCTCAGAGACCCCAACCGGCCTGGGCCTCAGCCAGGTGCGTCGACGAATCGCCTCTTGCGACGCTCTCATTTGCATGCAGGTCTTCAGTACATTCCTCGTGCTCTCATGGAGGCCATCTCTAAATTGCTCAAGGCATGTGAGGCTTGGTCTATCGGACGTTTGACGGCGGACAGTGGTGGGGGCATTGGCGTTCAGTCAGCCACACAGATCTTGCTGTGTCTGGTTGAGCTGGGTCGTGGCAGTATGGCGTCTACGTCCCCTTTATCGAAATGTTTCGGCCTAGCCTCTGAGAAGGGTAAGTGTGGGTGCTTATGAATGAGATCCTATCAAGATCTTTTCCTCAGGGTCCGAAGTGGCTGGTGACAGACCGTCGGTGCCCAAGCTGTTGCTGGCCTCGTTGAAGGGCCGTGCAGATCGACTCACTAAGGAGCAAACCAGGCATATAGCGCATGCAGCTCGACGCTATCAGGCTTGCGATACGGGAGCATATCGGACGCTACCATCAGACGTGAATAGAGCCGTCTTGGTTCGTTGGTGTGTATCCTGTGTTCTGCAGGTGTTGCGCTGGGTGGAGGATATACAGCGTGAATTCCCGGCTGGACCGAGGAGCAGCCGAGCCACTGTGACATCGTGATTAATGTAGACTGGATACATGTTTCTGCAATAACCGTTTCATCACTCACTATGCATGTCGGGTTGTTATTATCGTGACTTCAAGACTTAGTGGTAACCGCTCACATGTCAGTCGATCATGGGAGACAAGGCAAACGAGAATTGACCATTTGGCGCTACAACATTGGTCGCTTAGGATTCGAGAACACATGGAACTTTTATACTTGATAAGATGATGATGATTACAATGTGAATATTCGGTTTGCATTAGAGTTGTTGCTATCGGGGAAAAAGACCAACAGCCAAGTATGTGGCAGTCAGAGGCAATCGATAGTGATGTCAGTATACCCGCCGGGGAAAAGGACCGTACAGTCACAACAAGGCTGTCGGAGGCAAACGGAGGGATTAGTTACGTTCGTTACGATGTTAGATTGATGATCTTGGAAGACTGATTGTCATCCCATGCTATCATGTGTGTATACGTGCAGCTATATCGATTAGGACATAGCTGTTCGGGCGCGAAGACAGGACACACAATAGGCGCAAGTTGCAATCTCTGGTGGAGATACATATTTGTGGTCGTAACTTTGTGGTCACGAATATGTATCTCCACCAGTCGACTGACGATTGACGATAAAGATAACACATAGCATCGTTGGGCAACAGGCAGAGCCTGAGACTCACAGGAAATGGCGAACACTGTACATTAGAAAGAGAGAGCGTAACATAAGCATACTATACTCCACCCGGTAGCACTATTATCATTAGGAATACTACTGGCCATGAGCAACTCAGTGCAAGCCAGCAGTATCCCTGTCTGAAACAGTACCTCATACAAAACGGATCGTCTCTACTGTGAATTGTTATCCTCTCTAGATTTAGATGGAGGTCTACTGTACTATACTATACTATACATAAGTGGAGACAATAATCGTTTCAAGGATCGTCATATGTCACTCAACAACCCTCGAGAGACTAACATGAATCTTTCTATGAACGCAACAACTCGATATCAGTAACAAAGCATATAGAAACGTACAACCGTGCTAACGTAATGGTGACGGGGACGACATTGGACTCGGGGCGAGCCCATTAGGCTGCTGCTGCTGAGGGCTCGCTGACGGTGGTGGTCGGGGCCTCGACTGAACCACGGAAAAGCCAAAGTCCTTTATGAACTCACAATCGGTCTGAACATGACACCATAGATGAAGAGAGACTCTGAAAACCTCACAGCTCTCGGGAGGGGAGGGTTAACCAAATGTATCGGCTTCAATGCAGCATCGATCACTGGCTCCAGGGCCGCTGCCGGCAGAGCACTTCGTCCTGCTGATGTTGCCGCTTCCTGAGGCCAAGGGTAACGCGAGCACCGACAAGTTGCTTACTTGTTCTCTGAGAAGGACCGATACCGACCCCGGAAGAATCATCTGGCCAGCATCCCTCGCTAACTCAATGTAGTTGTAAGCGTACAAAGCTAGAAGACGCTCTCTAGCAGACTTCTTGTCGGAACCTCGGTCGTGTACTGCCCGCATGCACGAGTGAACCTAAGCCACTGATAGTTAGACGATACTGACCAAGATCTACGGTCGCGTCAGTAGGTTTCTAATATGAGCAAGGCTAATAGTAGGCCAGAAAACGAGGAACCGAACGAAATTTCGGATTGGATGCCTCTCTGACCTGAATTTCCAAGTCGATCTGGCCAGCGGGCCCTGCCTCACTGAGCATCTCACTGACGAAGTCTTGGAGACTCTCGTCATGGTACTCTGAGACCGCCTTCTGCCCATTCCCAACACGTCGTTCCACAATGAGCAGCCACAACGGAGCCATCTTGCGCCGTATCCCGAGAGCGAGCTGAGCCGCGAACGCACATGCAATGAGAGTTGTCCGCGAGTCAGTATTACATCACTAGCAAGCACGACGCGGAAGGTCCCCCCTCGAGCTGAGTACTCTTTCCCTCGCAATATTGTAGGATGACGACCTCGCTGTTGCCACAGTCTGGTGTGCTCCAGTGTCGTGAGCAGAAGCTCGGGACCATCGAAAACAAAGGATTCCTCACGGACCGTCCACGGCAGATCATGGACTTGCTGAGGTGGGCAGCCTGGGTAGGTTATGCGCCAAGGAGTGGCTTGTTCACGCATCAGGAACACACGCCCAGGGGCTTCGCCAGGCAAACGTATTACGCTGAACTCAGGAGTTAGGGAGCCTTCGAGGAGATCGTCTGAGGCAAACAAACTATAGTTAAATGCGATAGAGAGCCTAACTAATAGTCAGTGACTGACTTGGGAGATCCTATAGCCCGTGATCGTAGGATTTGATATTTTCGAGAAGTCCTTGCATTGGTATTGGTACTGAAACAGTGGAGTTTAACCATAGTGATATAAAAAAACACTAGTGGAAAACATATTTCACGACTACTACAGGCCGCGAATATCGCGTTTTTCACCGAGTTTTACGCCACTTCACGTTAAACGAGTGAAACTCTAGCGTTGGAATAAATGCCTGCTTTCCTCAGCTGCTTCTTGGGTATTTCATCACTAATTATAGAAGTTCACATATGAATTCGGGTAGAAGTGTACAGAAATTAACGAGAAATTCCCAAATTTTCCTCAGAATTCTCATGTTGTCACCAACACATGCGGTTGACTATTTGAATATTTTCCCACCCTGTACGGAAAAGTTATTAGAATTTCGGGAGATACCACTGACTGTCACTTGCCGCATCAAACACATCATGAGTTTCCTTATTACTCATCTCAGTTCCATGTCTATCAGCATCCACTTGTGTGCTCTGTACTGTGGTCCTCTCAGGCATCACAGGCTGGTAGTAGTCCCTGCCTGTAGCTCGCCATTCGCCCAAAACTCTGCATGTCCCTTCCTGTCGTAGCCACAGCTCTACGTCGAGACCACATTCACGAGAAAGGCAGAGGCCAACGCATTCCCCCATGGCCCAATTAAACTAAGGGGTGGTTCACATTCCCGAGGTCCCCGGATCGATACTGGCATGCGGAACATGCGTTTCCTTTCCAATTTTTCAACTGTGAGCCACCGAGTCTTTTGAGAACTGTATGCCGAAGCTTCATTTCTGTTTCGACGCCTTCACTCAAAACTAAAAAGCTGATTCTCAACGACTTGGAGCGTTTCCGACTTGTCTAGCCGTCCTAATGAGCATTGAAGTTAATATGTTCGCAAACAATTTCACTATAGCGACTACTATTCATCATCTAGTACTAATCTTCTTAACTCAACGTACGTCCTTAACTAACATTTGTACGTGTCGTAAAAGATATATACTCTTACATCTCAGCATGTTGAGAGCGTAGTGACGGGCTCCACTCGTTGATATTTGACTAACACACTTCCAACTTATATGTATACTTGAATATTGCGCAATGGGGACATGCCCTGCGTCCTAGCAGCAGATCTCAGGAGCCCTGCTCTACCCGAGATAGAGCCTCTGGTTCACTCATTTAGTCTATCGTCAATAGACTCGAGTTGGAACTGCCGGTTAGATGTTTTCGTGCGGCACCACGAATGAGCTTCGCTTCGCCCAAAAAATGATTCCGGAATGGCATTTCCGCAAGTCACATTTTTTTGTCAGTCCTAGCGTTACGTGGGCCAAGCATATAACTAATTTTAGTACTTGTGCTCGTCCTGAACTGGTCGACCGTGACCAGGCTCAGCCCGGCTCACCTACCGGAAGTGTCTACTATCTGCCGTCTCCTTAGGGTATAGCCGTGATAAACTCTCAATTGTCTCTAGCTGTCGTGATTGGGGAATGGCGTGGTAAGCCAAAATCAGAGAGAGCTTCAGTATCAGTGATATTTCCATGGCCATCACCAAACGAATCGAGAAGGAGACGCAGAAGCTGAGGGATGATCCTCGTAATAAGGGGGTATCGGTGTGCGCAGTATGAAGATTTGAGCTCTGGGGTATCTTTAGGTTGACCTTGCTCTTGATGGTTGTTGAAGATTTTTTTTCTCTTAGCCCCGGGCCTTTATGCTGTCCCTGATCCCAAGAACAGTCGTTACTTCCATATCGAGTTAGAGGGACCAGACGGCACCCCTTACGAGAAGGGTTATTACAAATTGGAGATGTTTTTACCCGAGGGGTATCCTATGGAGCCCCCAAAGGTGAGTACAGGTCGTCCTGTCGTGTTCGATTGGTATATATGGAGCTCTAAGGTCCGTTTCCTAACGAAGATATATCATCCAAATATCGACAAATTGGGTCGTATATGTTTGGATATTCTCAAGGATAAATGGTCCCCGGCACTTCAAATGAGGACCGTCCTACTCTCCATTCAAGCATTGCTGTCCGCCCCTGAGGTAATACCATACCTTCTACTACTGGTTATATAATGTAAACGAATCAGACTTGACATTTTTCAGCCCGATGATCCGCTTGATCCCAGTGTAGCTGAGCATTTCAAGCACAACAGGGCCGAAGCTGATGCCATAGGTAATTCACTCACTCACTCCTTGGAACTTTCCTGATGTCACTCCTGGCGTGTTATAATGTTCTGCCTTTCAGCACGAAATTGGAATCAGAAGTATGCCCTGCACGAGCCTCCCAAGACGATGATGCTCTAGATGTATGCCAAGAGCCAATGCTTGGTACATTAGCTTTGTAGTAATGCTGGACCAGTGCTTGTCTGATGACGAAGAGTTATGGCCGCATTGATATACCTGTTATACTGTTGAGGAGGAGTCCCTCGAGACCAGCGATCGCTATGGGCTCTGATTATGACTCTTGGTGCTTCCCCCTCCCCGATACTGTGTAATAGTTGACAGTTCCCTCTATATCGTTTCTTTTCAAATCTCGGGAGTTGCGTATATCAATAATAGAAGGATTGGAGTACTTAGGGTGTCCTTGGGGGAACATCTCTGAATGGTCACTACTAAGCGCATTGAGAAGGAGACTCAGAAGTTGAAGGAAGATTCTCGCTAAACTGTGGTAGAGGGAAATGGGCTCGGGCCGATAGTAGTTGCTCCTTGTCTGTAGCGCCGGGGCTGTCAGCCGTCCCTGCTTCTGGCAATTTGAGATGCTTCTATACTGAGCTGGCAGGGCCACAGGGCACCCCGTGTGATAATGGAATTTACAAGTCGGAGATGTTTTTACCCGAGGGGTATCCTATGGAGCCCCCAAAGGTGAGTACAGGTCGTCCTGTCGTGTTCGGTTGGTATATAGAGAGCTCTAAGGTCCGCTTCCTTACGAAGATATATCATCCAAATATCGACAAGTTGGGTCGTATATGTTTGGATATTCTCAAGGATAAATGGTCCCCGGCACTTCAAATGAGGACCGTCCTACTCTCCATTCAAGCATTGCTATCCGCCCCTGAGGTGATACCATACCTTCTACTACTGGTTAGGGCAGAATCCCCTTATTGCCAGCCCGATCCCCTGGAAACCGGTGTCGCTGAGCATTTCAAACACAATAGGGCAGAAGCGGACAACATTGGTAGTAATGGAAATTTACTATTTTTATGGTATATTTGTGCTAGCCCGGAGCTGGAACCAGATCTATGCGATGCATAAAAACAGTTGTGAAGTGTCGCTGTGATTTGTGCTATTTCCATAGCAACATCTGCAATGTATCAATTGTATTGGACTTATGCCGGCAGTTTCCTAAACACTGACACCTTTGCTGTTGATTGTGTAGGATGGAGGGTGCCGGGATCGAACCTGCGTTTAGTTGGCTTAGCTCCTTTGCTGGCTCCTGTTGCCATCTTCGATTCCTCATCATGGTATCGCCCCCAGATCGGGGTCAGCATAACCCGGTGTTGGGCTCACCTTGCCGTGTTGATAAGGATGCTTCTTCGCCTTCTACAGTGGACGACAGCAGTCATTGCAGTCCAATGACGAGGAGCTCATCCCCAGTGTTGGTGACGCCTCCTCAACAGAGCCAAGCGGGCCTTCAGACCGCCTTAGGCTTTGCAGCATCACAGCTGTTCAAAGCTGGATGTTTTGTGGGTAAGCTCATCTACGCTTACTCGTAGTCTCTCACCGTTGGAGTCGGTGAATGTGTTTTCTTCCATATGCGTTATAGAATTGGTACTAGTATTGTGAGTTTTGTTTACATTCTGTGTGGACTTCAGTGATAGTCGTGGGAAAATTTGAGAGAGAAATTTTAGTTGTTTCGTCAGGTGATAAAATCGATGAGCTACTCGACGCGTTGATCCCTAATGAGACTTCTCCGAATCGCGCCAGAAGCGTGGGGCGGCCGCCTAAAGAGTCAGCGCTGGAAGATGACGAATGGGTCCTCGTTGAGCGGCCCTCCGACGGCTTATCACCTCACAGTGCTGCTGGTATTATGCAAAAGTAGGATATCTCCTACTGTGTACACTATTGGCGTGGAAGTGTATATGAGTGAAATTTGTTGGTGTACTATTCAATGTTATTGCTACTATCACTTGATGTCAACCAAATCGATTTACGTTAATTCGAAATTTTCTATTGTGTTCGGAGTAAATCATTCGAACGTTTCTCGGCTGTCTTTCTCCTCCTTTTGTGCGTTGTGAATGGTATTAGGGGACATCGCGGAGGTCTGGCTGCCTGAACTATGCTGGAGCTACAAGACGGGTCGATTCGAAGAGCATATGGGCGTGAGGATTCTCACGGCAAATCGCATTGATGGAAATCTCGTCAGGTTGCTGTGTCGAGGAGTGGGGTGATAGTAGCGGTGTATGAGGACCTCTCGGGCATCCCTGAGGCCTACCGCCAGAGGGAGTTCAAAAGGGTGGCTATGTTACCAGGCTTTGTCAACTGCCATAGTCATGCTTTTCAAAGGAACCTCAGAGGCAAGGGAGAATCGGATTATGAAAGAGGTCGGTATAGAGGAGCGGATGGTCATGTTGATCGTGTTGGAGGTGACTGGATGGTCACAGTCTCGACGCTGTGTTGTATAGTCATAACCTCGGGATTGCATTATCGTGTAAATATGAGTTCAATGCTAGTTCTTGTGTGTGTGTTTCCTACTATATACGTACAAGTTCAGGTGGTGATAGAAGGGCGAACTTCTGGTCGTGGCGGGAGGAGATGTACCGTCTAGTGTCGACCGTAGCAGCTGATAAGACTCGTTTTAAGGAAGTCTGCCAGTAGTGTTAAGGATGGCTATGCTTATCTGCTTTGTGATAATACTCTTTCCTCAGACGCTGTTTTTCCGAGATGAGAGATGCCGGGATCACCAGCGTGGGTGAGTTCCACTACCTCCACCACCAGGACGCGGCTACGGCTAATGACTACACACTGGATCTAGCTGTGTTGGAAGCCGCCCATGAAGTTGGAATACGAATAAGGCTCATCCAAACGTGAGGCTAGACGTTTTCATACTCGTAGTGGTGGTAGTCGATACCTAGGCTGTTGATTCACGATGTTTTATAGTCGGGCGTAGTTACCGAACTGATCCCGATCGTATCTCCTCGTCCTTAGGTATTATCATTCCTCAAGTGCTGATGGCAGGCCTCTAGAGGGTAGCCAGAAGCACTTTGAGTCACAGGATGTAAATAGTTGAGATGTTCGCGGAGTCTTGACGGTTTTTCTGGCAGTTGAATGTTTTCAAAGGGCAATTCGAACGACTCCAGGCCTTTGTCGCTGACAAGCCTCTGCTGGGGTTGGCCGTAGCCGCTCATTCGATCCGAGGCTGCGACTTGAAGAGCGCCAGAGAGTTATTGGATTTTGCAAGGGAGAAGAAGGTCCCCTTCCATATGCATGTGGAGGAGCAGATGCAGGAGGTGGAGGATGCCAAACGGGTGTAGGCATCTGATCGATCAGGAAGTCAATCACTACACACCGAGTCATTGAGGACGCTTAGTCTCTAATTCTTAGCTTATGCTAAGACACTAACCCGATCTCATCACATGAGTATGTTCATCATGTTCCTTACACGGACGTATGTATACCCATTCTGGGGTTGAGTCGACCGACTCCGGGAGCGAAAATGAATTCCAAAGCGCAGTCCAAGCCGAATGCATGGTTCTCATCAGCACCCGAAACTTGAAGGAATAGGTTAATTCGAATTTCGATCGGAATTTGGCAGGTACTCAGGGCGGACAGTATCTCGAGCGCTGTTGGACAGTGGTATCTATGGCTCTGATGTGACGCTGGTCCACTGTACACATACTACTGTAGAGGACATGATAGACCTCGTGGGGAAGGGCACCAACACATGTATATGCCCGACCACCGAGGGCTGCCTAGCTGATGGTTTCCCAGACCTATCTCAACTGCGACCAGGAGACGGACAGGTTCCTTGGTCGTGGTCTCATCAGCGTGAGGTCTCACTTCAGGTGTGTATAGGATCAGACTGCAATTCCCGTATCGACACTTTGGAGGAGCTCAGATGGTTGGAGTATGCTCACAGGCTTCGGACGCAACGACGTGGTGTGCTCATTACGGATACCTTACCGAAAACTCCCGAAGAATCAAGGCTGGCTGTAATGGAGATTTGCTTCACTCGAGTCGCCTGGTGCATCTGTAGCATCATTAGACATTCATCCTTACTTAGACTGTACTCCTCGGTATCGCCACGGAAGGAGGAGCACGTTCCCTCGGCCTTACTAAAGTTGGACGCATCGCCGCCGGTTATGTGGCTGATGTTTCTCTGGTCAACCTCGACCATCCAGCTCTGGTTGGTCTAGGAGGCGACATTCGGGATACCCTAGGCCCAGCATTGGTGTTCGGTCTGAGTGCTAATGAGGCGGTCTGTGCTAGTGCGGTGGCCGGAAAGTAGTGAACCAGTCGGGCGTGTTGTTTTGGAGCATCGTGGGCAGGTGGAGAATTTCCCAATCGGGTCTGGCTGTGAGCTCAGTAGAGTTTCTGAACCGTCCTTTGAAAATCAAGCACCACATCATAATGCAGAAAGGCGTCCTCCCTGAGGACCCTGGAGACGTTCTCGCCTTGGCTCGAGCGTTTATAAACTCGGCCAGCCCGAGTGGGTACGAGAAGAATATGGGGGAGGTCATAACGGACCGCTTGAAGATGACTGGATGGGAGGTGATGGAGTGTCTAGGGTTGGGTCTGGTATCGCATCTGTGGTGCCCAGGTAGAGACCTTTGAAGTGGCCCCACAGGCCAACAATCCCGATGGCCCGATGCGACATAATATCTTTGCCTACCGTCCTGGCTGCAGGGATAGAGTTGAAGTCCTCTTCAACACGCATCTGGACACGGTCCCACCGCATTTCGACTCGTATCTGGACAAGGACCCTGACAGCGGTCGACAGCGGCTACGAGGAAGAGGGGCGTGTGATACGAAGTCCCTCTCGGCGTCGATGATTGTGGCAGGAGACAGGCTTGTTGCCGTGAGTTCGCAGACGATCTCTGAGGGGTTTATATAACCCCACCATTGTTCAGTCTGGTGTCGGCGACAAGGTGGGTTTCTTATTCGTCGTTAGCGAGGAGACTGACCACAGCGGTATGACAGCGGCCAATAGTCAAGTAGGGAATCTTATCCCCAGTCTGAAGTGAGGGCATGACTATCGCGCGAGGTGAAAGATTAGGTAGGTACGTCATAGTAGGAGAGCCAACTGCGGGCAAAGTTATAGTTAATCAGAAGGGGGTTGTGAAGATCCGTCTTACCGCTAAGGGTGTCGCCGCGCACAGTGGATATCCTCACCTGGGTACGAGCGCCATTCATACCCTCACTGAGCTCCTACACAAAGTTATGGCCTATCCTTGGCCCAAGGACGACGTTCTGGGCGGTATGGTGGCGGGGCTTCTGTTCTGCCTACATGGCAAAGTCATAGATACGGACGTGAACGTTGGCCGCATCGAAGGGGGTCAGGCTGATAATGCGCTAGCGGAGCGATGCAGAGCCACATTGATGTTCAGAGTTACCGAGTCGTGAGTTTCCCAACTTGAGCATCATGGACAGGATACTCGGCGTTTTCAGATCTGCCCGTATAATTGAAGTGGTGGAAAGTCTCTGCGTGAATGCTACGGGGGCCTCTGTGGAAGCAGAAGTTATCTCGAGAAATGAACCTGTTAATATGAAATATGTTAAAGAGTAGAAACAGTTTCTCCCACTGCCTCTACTTTGGTGCTCAGACTCGTTAAAGGCCATCCATTCGGAGTGGCTGCCTTTAATACCGACATATCATTTTTCGCTCCGACTTTGGAGATGCACGACGCCAAAGCCATCCTGTAAGGCTGGCAGTGGCGCCTATTTTCCTAAGCGTTGGGAAATGTGGTTTGATCCACGCGCCGAATACATCACCAGCGAGCATTGGCGCAGTACCAGTGGGGCACTGGGCCAGTAGCATTCCTCTGAGTTACTCTATGAAGCATGTCCATGCTTGAGTTTCTTTCGAGAAACATTATAATCGGTCGAAACGACTCGGTGTAAAATTGATAATGGAGTATCGTCCGGTTCTATCCCAGGTTCGGTCTGGGTGATATCTGTGATGCACATTGTGAACGCGAATACATATATGTTGATGACTTAACGAAATGTGTGGCAGCCTATGAGGACTTGGCAGGACAACTTCTCGAGAGATAGAGCGGGACTGACAGTGCCCGTATAGCAATGCTTTACTGTTCATGTTTTGCCTTCAATCATCTCATTTTTCCTGGTTATGCTCGTGTTGACTTTAGAAGTACGAGGTGTAAGGAGCGTATTTTTTCTTTGGCAAATGCAAAAAATCCGCGTTTCTCGTTAACGAATGATACTTTTGAGCTGAAACTTCAACAAAGCATAGATATTATGATTAGCTATTATATACTGGAATGAAACTGTAATCTTCGGAACCATCGAGATCATGCGAGTTACTACAAGATGAACGCGCGTGAGTAATGAAATAGTTGCGACAAGTCAATGGTATCCATGGCACATCATGTCAGAAAGGTACCAAATAATTCTAAGGCGGCTTTGGCGCAGTAGGTAGCGCGTAGGTCTCATAATCCTAAGGTCGCGAGTTCGATCCTCGCAGGCCGCACTTATCGTTCCCTCCCCTTTGAACAATCATCAGGAACACAACACATGATGAATAAGTGATGTACACGAAGAATGTATAGGTTGTGTGGTATGTGAGTTCCAGTATACTGGCATGTTGAGTGAATCTAATTGGAGGATAGACCAGAACTCGGCCAATCAGCTACCCAGACTCTGCTCAAAATAATACACTATCGTCTCTGCATACCGACAGCTCTTGCCGCATACCCTTGAACTCAGTCTCATACAAAAGATCAGGTCCAGGCACTGAACTGAGAAACCGATATGTTTTCTCTGCAGAACTAGGCATCTGGTCCGATGTCAAGGAGGCTCTAGCGCCAGATGATTCAACAACTCCTGCCGTAGGGACACGTGTGAAACGACCAGTTCATGTGATTGCTATCCTGGCGGGACATGCCCAAGTGAAGCAAGGGCTGCGGGTGAACTGAACTTATCAGTCGCAGGAATCGTATCAGGGTCTCTGCACCCATACTCGAAGCACAACTCCGTGATGTGAGGGTGAGAGCCTCCAATAAAGGGGGACAGACCAGCCGTTTCGGCAATACACTCAGCTCAGCTGACCATAAATTGTGGTCGACGATTAACGAGGCTCCGTAGCTGATTTTATCAGATCGACCCTGGCATCCCTCGAGTCAGGACCGCAACATCCGTTTTCCCCGACGGGGCTACACAGCTTCGATGCCGAAGTCTCTATCAGTCGTTCCTTTGCGAGGGAGACCTTCATTCACTTTGAAGGTGTAGCAGTAGTGTGATTAATGTGAGGTGCTTCTAGGCATGGCTGTGGTCCCGAGAGGCTGTCTGTTTCGCTTCGTCCTTGGCCTCCACTCATCAGGGCCTAGCCGGAACGGCGGTGTATGAAATAATATTGGTAGCATCAATGGCTTTGGCGATGCTCCGGTGGAGATGTGACTTCTTGCCGAACTCCTCAGGGTCGAGGCGATGACTTCGCATTTACAACAACAGGATCTCTGAAGAGTGACACCATGCCTGTTACTTCAATGCAAAAACACACTAGCTGAGAAAACGACAATCATAGCTCTTCAGAGGAGGCCTCCTCTATCCGGGAAACAGCCAATGCGTCATAATACGGCTTTGACACCTTTCGCAAGACCGTGTTGAATCTCACCAGACCGGTCGGTGAAGAAATAGCGTCTGCTTTCTAAAACCCCCGCACAGTGAAACACCTCAGACTGCTCCCTCTACCTGAACCAGGTCGAGATAGTCCCTCATCATTGCAGCCTTGGTGCCTGCGTTGTCCACAATGACCACCGTGCCCGGCCCTGCGAAGCCTCGTTCTATCATCTTTTCCAAGTCCTGAGAATTGTCGGTGTGCGATCACGACAATCCCATAAAAGAAACGACATAATACTGGTAGTCGCTTACCTGTTTGAAGTGACTTGGCTCATGGTCCATAAACACGATATCAGCTTTGGCCATTCCTGAACTCTGGAGAGATTCGATCAGATCCGTCATATCGTCCGGCAAAAGCATCGCCCTGTATCGAATGCTATGCCTGGCCTTGCCGGTTGAAGGATCTCGAATGGCGTGAGAGACCAGCTGAGGGACGCTGAGGCGTAGCGACGGTCGACGAGCTCACCTGTTTGCCCAGTTGAAGCCAATGAGGATTCTCCTCGACCGAGACAATCGACACCTTCCTCCTCCCAGCCCCACTCAGAAACCTCAGAGTCCCATCGCCACTATGTGAGCCCAATTCTAGGATATGCAGGCGGTCTTGATCCTTCGGGGTCGTAGTCGTGGCCACGGTAGAAGCGATGATCTCTCCTGACAACAGCACAGGAGTGAAGACGACCAGCGTAAAACCATCATTGTTAATCCATATAATACACTATATAATGTAACAGGAACAACCTGCAGAATGGACTACAGCATTTCCCGGTCATGTTTCCGACTCGCGCACTGTTATTTCCGAGTAAGTGCATGCGAACATCCGATGCGTCACAACTATTTCCGACCCGCACTCATTTATCCGATTCGGTCACAAGCAATATCCGACATACCGCATGAAAATTTCCGACTAGGGTCATTCTAATATCCGCCCGATTCGTGCATCCCAAAAAAATAACGGAAATAACAGTGCGCAAGTCGGAAACATGAGCGGGAAATGCTGTAGATTGAAATCACTCTCAAAAGAAATGCATTCAGATGAGTTTGTCTTATGTAAATGATGAGTTTGAGTAGCTCCTCCAGCCCAGGAAGGAACTTATCGAATTGAACATGTCCGCATCCTACGAGACCTAGCAGCCCGCGGGCCACACCATTGAAATCGAGTTACATGCTACACTCGAGCGTATCACTCATCAGTATCAACTCGCGAGCCACAAGACACTCACCCTTCTCATCGCCCAGAGTAAGGCCTCCTCCATACCGCTTCGAGAAGCCCTCAGCCTCCCTTATGCAGTTCTCCAACGACCCGCCCTCAGCTGTTGTCACAACGTGCTCCACCAGCCCTGAGACCCGGCGGCAAATCTTCGCTGTGCGCAACAGGCGTATCTTTCGCCTACTGTCATCAAGGCTGCCAGAGTCAGCACGATGGTCAGCTGGGTTGGGGTGATAGACATTCCCCGGCTTCAGCTCGCCAACCGCAGTCTTGCCCGATCTCGGCACGGCACTGTGAATGAACGATGGGAATATCGAAATTAATAAGAAAAAAATCATCAGAAAACTGCCAACTTTCACACAGCTGAGAGGAACATCGCTACATCGCTCCTGGGCTACAATCACTTCCAAAGTAGAGGATCTCGAATGCAAGGCCGACCGAATCAATATCTCCATATGCAGGAGCAGTCCACTACACTCAGTGTGCCTTTCTAGAGCACATGAGGGGGGCCTCTCGAAGAGGCCACGTAGAACACTGTCCAGGATCCATACACGTTAAGCTTACATTACTCCAAGTCACAGCGCCCAGGGTAACCCTATGTAAGCCGAGATGGATGACCATAACCGTAATAAAGTCCACGTGCCTAGCATGACTCGAGGACTCAGCAGTCGGTCCTTCGTGTTCAAGCAGATAGGCATGAGCTACTTCTGCCGGGCTCGCGGCACGCACAACTATTCCCATAATCAATTTCACTTTGATGAAATAATTGACAAAAAGAAGGTTGGAAAAACCAAAAACTTTTGAGAAACCGCACTCAAAAAGATATTGTGCAAATGGCTATTGCTCCCGAGTCGACCTCCGCCTTGTTGCCAACAGTGTCTCAGCTCACGACTCCACAACTAGAACACAACCACCAGTACCCCAATAAGCTCATGAGGTTCCACCGAGCCGCGGTTCAAGCTTCCTTCACATACCAGAGTGAAGAGCTCCTGCACGACGTCCTTAGGGACTTTCACTTGCCTGGGCATCAGCCAGTAGCAGCAGTAGCAGTATAGACTCCAATACTTTACTCCATCACTTCACCTTCAACCGTACTCGGCATAACAGACCTACTTCGAGCTTGACTGGGGCGTTGTTGACTAGTTTGAAAGCGAGCTCGTTGCCTCTAAGGGGGAGGGTACGAGTGGCGGACGTAGCAGCTTCTCAAATTCCGGACAGAGCCTCCCACAATTAAAGATAGTCAACCAACCCACCGAGCCCTTCCTGTAGTGCACGCATAGCCTCTAGTCGGTCATCAAGCACGCATGACTGAGCAAAGAGGAGT